CACCCACGCCCTCGAAGGAGTCCTGCGGCAGCGGGTCCTCCCGGTTGCCCAGCTTGGCCACCATCGCGCTCAGCAGCTGCAGGGAGAAGGGCAGAGTGTGGGCACCGGCCCGCAATGGTCCCAGGCATCCGTGAAAGGCAGCTGAGAACGCGGGCACTGCAGCCTCGGTCCCAGCCCTGGGCGCGGGTTAGAGGCTGACTCCAGCAGGCACTCTCATTACAGGTACTCCCCCTGCCTGGGGGAGCGCTGGTGGGCGGGGTCAGCGCCTGGCAGGGAGGGGCTCCATGGAGCTGGTGGGCAGGGTCAGAACCTGGCAGGGAGGGAATCCATGGAGCTGTGGGCGGGGTCTGAACATGGCAGGGAGGGGCTCCGTGGAGCAGGTGGGCGGGGTCAGAACCTGGCAGGGAGGGAATCCATGGAGCTGTGGGCGGGGTCTGAACATGGCAGGGAGGGGCTCCGTGGAGCAGGTGGGCGGGGTCAGAACCTGGCAGGGAGGGAATCCATGGAGCTGTGGGCGGGGTCTGAACATGGCAGGGAGGGGCTCCGTGGAGCAGGTGGGCGGGGTCAGAACCTGGCAGGGAGGGAATCCATGGAGCTGTGGGCGGGGTCTGAACATGGCAGGGAGGGGCTCCGTGGAGCAGGTGGGCGGGGTCAGAACCTGGCAGGGAGGGAATCCATGGAGCTGTGGGCGGGGTCTGAACATGGCAGGGAGGGGCTCCGTGGAGCAGGTGGGCGGGGTCAGAACCTGGCAGGGAGGGAATCCATGGAGCTGTGGGCGGGGTCTGAACATGGCAGGGAGGGGCTCCGTGGAGCAGGTGGGCGGGGTCAGAACCTGGCAGGGAGGGAATCCATGGAGCTGTGGGCGGGGTCTGAACATGGCAGGGAGGGGCTCCGTGGAGCAGGTGGGCGGGGTCAGAACCTGGCAGGGAGGGAATCCATGGAGCTGTGGGCGGGGTCTGAACATGGCAGGGAGGGGCTCCGTGGAGCAGGTGGGCGGGGTCAGAACCTGGCAGGGAGGGAATCCATGGAGCTGTGGGCGGGGTCTGAACATGGCAGGGAGGGGCTCCGTGGAGCAGGTGGGCAGGGTCAGCATCTGGCAGAGACACCAAAGGGAGACACCCAGCGTGGCCAATGGACCCTAGCACCAGGCCAGAAACAGACCATGGCCATGGGGCAGGGTGGCCTGGCTGGGGCAGTGAGCCACACAGGTTCCTGGGGGCTGCCCCACCTCCTCCTTCTTCTGCTCGTCAGACTTCTCCTCCAGGTAGACCTTGGCCGGGACGTACTTCCGGGAAGGCGCTTCCTGCGGGGCCGCGCTCACTGGCCCGGCGGGAGAGAACAGCGTCAGCACCCGCCTTCTCACCCCACCCCCTGGCGCCACCCAGCTCAGCTCACCGGCCTTCCCATAGGGCCTCCTCCAGTCCCAGGGAGAGCCTGGGCACCCTGGCCCCTTCCCCCTTCCGCCAGCCCCTGCCCACCCTAAGCCTTCCCTGGCCCCTTCCTGCCCTGCGCCTGGCAAGGCCCCCCATTCCTCCTGCCCACCCTGAGCCTCAGCCTCTCCCAGTGCCCCACGGCCAGGGACACCCCTCTTCGCCCGAGCACCCTGGCCAAGGGCCACGG